TCAAGTGAGACACCTGAAAACTACTTTTTTCAGGGTTAGTTTTGAACCCAATCAGCACTTGGGAAATGCAACCACTGGTAAAAAACTAAGGAAGTTGCAAAAAAAGTGTTAGGGGTAGAAAAACAATCATTCCCTGAGGAGGAAGCACAAAATTGGATTGTCTCTAATAAGCAGATTACAAAATCTCATTTTAAGAAAATCTGTCAGTTCTTCAAATGGCACAGATGTTTGTTTAACATCCAGGGATGTGACTTGAGAATAAGTGACCTCTAAACAATTATATATCTCAAATTCTTTTAGAGTCTAAGCTTACACCATAGTCTTAACACCCTTTCAAACACAGTGATAGCATTTAATAAATTCTGTAACTGTACAGTTTGTATAATCCTCTATTATAACAATACATTAACACTAAGGGTCTTTTGATATCATTGCTCTAGAAATGATCACTGTTATGTGTCATGGGCTTTCTGCACCTTAGAGTGCTAATGAACTTTTCAATCCTACTCCCATGAAAAAAATGTTGACTGTTTATTGCTTAGAATAAGAAAAAAGTTATGAACCTGTAGGTGCTGCCACCCTTCACAAGTTAATGACTCTGAAAGTTATGCACTCAAATATAGCTTCTGAAATTGATAAGGTTCCTGAAGTAAAGTGGAAGATGAGTGAAACTGTTTTTGTCTTACAGCTTCAAAATGTGTAGCTGTTTATCATGTAAAACCTTTAACTCTGTGAATCAAAACTCATGCACCAACTCTGACAAAAAGGGAAATAAATTTCAGTTGAAACTTTTGTCTCTTCCAAAAGAAAGAAACATGTTTCATATTTCTCTAAGTAGAAAGACAATGCTGATTATAAAAACTATTCTATCAAAATCACTGCCTCATCTAGAGAAGTGTGCATGAATAAAACATATTTATTTACCCACTATTTAACAGAAGTGTGGATAGGGAAAGATGTAGTTTCTTGTGAAAGCTGGAAAGAGGGATCTAAAGATCTGCAGGAACATTAAATGTCATTGAAGTTACACCTACTACAGAGAACTACACACCATATACAATGGCAATAATAGGTGTTTAAATATTGCTGCTCAGTTGTCTGAAGTGTGAGGATTCCTGAATTACTAGGCACATTTTCTGCAAGAAATTAGGGATTTTTGGGAGATACACAAGATTTTGGTGACAATCTGGCATCAAGAAACAACCAGTAGATGAGGAGGTTTCAGACACCCTTACCTTGGAAGACAGGCAACCAGCATCTGTATCAAAACATGCCCTTTGAAACTGCTTTTGGTTGCCAGAGTGCAAGATCAGCTCTATCCAAGCCAGTGCTCAAACCCAGACAAAACACTTCAATCCTTCTGCCAAACAGTGCTGAAATGGGCACAACCTGTTGCCTTCAGCTGTGAGGGAAATGAGCTTCTGATAAAATTCTTAACAACTTCAGTAGTGCCGTTATTAAGCTTCCAACAATGACTGTGGATGTGACACCTTCCTTCAGGCACTCCCAGCAAGACCAAGGAAGCTCAGGGACATTCGCTTCCCCAGGGCTGTACAAGCAGGGATTTGCAGGCAGGGATGTAGCAGGGTGGAGCCTCCAAGGGCTCTCGCAGTCCTGAGGAATCTGAAGGCCCCGTGATCCTCTCAAACGTTTTAAGGGCAGGGTGGTTGCAACCTCCTGAGAAGAGAGAGCTCACCACTCAACAGCTGTAGGGTGTCTGCAGCAGAACAAAAGGAAGAGCTGAGATTTTGGGTGGCTGGAGCTGTGAGGCAGCCAGAGCCTGCAGTTTGTCCCTGCAGGACCATCAATGCCAAAGTTTACATCTGGGTCGTGCCCAGCTCAGCTTTCGCCCTGCTCTTACAAATCTCTTGCATGGCAACAGAAGCTGCCAAAGGGTCTGTGCTGGTGTGTCACACTGCTGAAATCTTCAGCTTTCCTTCACAGCTCTCAGCTTCATAATTTAAAAGCTCGCCAAGAGCCAAACTTCTAAGTCCTCACTTTAAAATATGTGTTTCTATTAACCAAAAGTAAGAGGCATTTGCTCAGACAGCTACTGGGTATAGAGGCAAAGGACACTACTGGATATAAAAATCTACATCTATCTAACATACATGTTATCTAACATACAGCTCTCATTTCTTTTGCCATAAATCACCCCACCCATGAGCCAGGATTTACATCACAGCCTGTGCCAGCAGCCAAATTCCTGGGTGCTAGCTGATATTGCACACATCAGGGCAGAGGCTCCTGACCTTGCAAAGGCAAAACACACATCAGAAGCAACCAAGAGACAGGAACAAGGAGAAGGATAAAACTCTTTGTCCTACTCCTTTCCCTCCCACAGCCACTGTGCACTTGTCTAGGGAGTGAAAGAGGGCAAAGGGCTTCCATTCCCACCACAGGCACTGCCAGTGTGCAAAGCCAGGCTTGCCAAGGTGCTGTACAGACAACTTTGACCCTCACAGACATGCAACAGCCCATGGGAATGAGAGCTGTGAGGCAACACATGAGGCCAAAGCAGGATAGGCACTAGGAACTTTGTAAGGAATTTAAATCGAGCAGCTCTGGTAAGTATTTGAGTTTAGACACACGTGCTGTTTGGTCTAGTACAAGAGTGCTTTAAATACCTCCATTTGGTTGGGTTTGTGTAAGTAACACCATGGTCACAGTTTCATTTTACACTTTCACTCCTCAGTTATGTGCTCATCTTGCATGCACTTTCACCCAAATACACACATAATCACCTGTCTGGCTGCATCAATCCCACTGGGGAATCTTGCAGTTGTAAGCATCCCTAAGAATAGAGTACAGTATGCTGCCTTGAGTGCACGTGTGTGCTGGTTTTCTATCATCTGTTTGCCTGCCCCAAAGCCTGCTGATAGAAACTGTCTTTGATCCTGAAAACACTACACATTTTCATTTTGCATTTGCAATTATACGCTTATCTTGGACAGGAAAAGGGAAACTTTAAATGCAGGGTTGGCAAAAACTTGTCTGCCAGCCAGTCTTCTATCACTTATTTGTGGCTTTTACTGCCTGGAAAACTGAAGAATACAAATCCTTTGCACAGAATATCCCAACAGAGAAACAGAATGAAGTTAAGAAAAAATTGGGGGGGAAGCAGACAATTTTGGATGCAGTTTCACAATACAGTTCCAGCTGACCCAATAGCTCACTGCTATCCAAATAGAAATTTTGTATCTTTTACATCACATCCACCACTTCCTCCTGGCTCCACATTCCCAACACTTATTTTCTGTAGCTTCTGGAAGTAAGCAGCTCAGAAAATTAACCTACACACCAAATCACCACATTGGATCTGCTTTCAGGAAGTCCAAGAAGTTACCTGAGCAGGCACAAAGAGGAGGTGGGACTACAGTGCTGGGTAGTAGGAAAAGGGCCAGAAGAAGATCAGATCTCCCTGTTCAGCAGCAGCCAGACATTATTCACACTGACTTGTTCATTAACTCCCAGCCCAAGCAGATCTAAGACACTTCTTATAGATTCATGAAGCAATGTCCATAGGTAACTTCACAGCATGGACAATAATTATTTTGTATCTGCAAATCATCTTGCCCAAAAAGATGACTATGTTTCAATACCTTAATAAATAAAATTATAAATGTAATTCTTGATTGCAACACTGATGAGCTGATTCTAGGAGCCTGATTTGATAACATTTCCTCAGTTTCTCCTTTGGGGAATGCAAAGCTTTTGCTTTTGCATTTAACTATGAGGTATACAGAAATATTAATGTGAACCTTATAGAAATTTTGTATTAGCCTGAAATCTTCAACTTTCAGTAACATAAATTAGGAACAACAGGATTCTTATCTGACACTTGGACACTCAACTCTGCACCAAATCCACCATGCAGTACCTGTGCCAGTGCACTCTGCCACCCTAAAGGCTACTTTGAAGCAGAATCTCAAGCTTGAAGGAGGCACTGGTGTGTACTGCAACCAGATCACCAAAATAACATTTACTTGCCAAACAGGAGTATCACTGGTGTGCATCACAATGTGGCACTTCTCCTCACTTTGTGGATGCAAACAGTAACAGTGTCTGTACTAGCAGCAATGATGGTATCTGCCAAAGCAGGGAACATTTCTATCACTTTTCAGTGTTTGTCTGGCATCTGAGAAAAAAGTTTTTAAAAATTCAAGAAAAAGCTACTGGGAAAATAATTTTACTATCCCCTTCTAGTTACTTATATAACACATTATAGTGAGATTTTTATTCCTGAATCACAAGATGGCCCATCACCAAATGAACATTATTAAAATTACTTTTTCTTCTCTGTATAGGTACAGCTGGCATACATAGCCAGCATACACCACAGAACTAAAAATTAACTGAGACAGGCATTTTTGTTCAAGACTCCTGTGCTGCTCACAACTCCAGTCACACAGCACTGTTAATTGCTGCTGGCACTGACAGTAGGGATCCCCTTCCATCTGCTGGGACCAGCTGATGCAAAATAAAAGCAGTCCCTTGGAGTGAGGCGCAGCTCCGCGGGGTCAGTGCCCGGCACCGCTGCCAGTGCCGGCCGGGCTGTGCAGGAGCGCTGCCCTGCGCTCGCCTCGGCTCTCCGTGGGGTGCTGAGACACTTTGTCTCTTCTGGTTTCTTTGGGGTTTTTAATCTTTAAAAACGCCGCTCTCCTGCCGCGTTTGATGCCTTTAGTGACGCAGCAGCCTCTCCCCAGCCGCCTGGCGTTGCACGCAGGGGAGCAGAGGTGCCCGCGGCAGAATCCCCCGTGCGCTGCTTCAGCTCCCCGGGCTCGCAGCGCCGGAGGCGGCCCCGCGTCCTCGCCGCTGCTGAAAGCGGGCCCGGAGCCCGGGGCCGCGATGGAAGCAGGGCAGGTGCTCCGGTGCAATCAAAGTCCGCGGGGACAGACCCTCACCCTCCGCCTCCCAAACCTCCCCCTCCCGCCGTCAGCGGGGCTGCTGCTGACCCCGGGTACGCGTCCCCTGCAAAGCGGGAGGAAGGCACCGCTTACCGGAGCTGCTCGCCGGTGAGCAGGACCTCGGCCATGTGCTCCAGCTCCGCCGCTTTCTGCTGCATGCTGCTCATGCCCTCCTCCATCGCCCCGGCCTGCGGGCACAGCACCGCCGGGTGAGGGGGGACCGGGACCCGCCGCCCCCGGCCGCGCTGCCCCCGCCGGCGGCTCCGGGGCGCCTCCCGCCCGGCTCCGGAGCTCTTCGCGGGGGTGACGGGCAGCGACAGCCACGTCCTGCCGCTCCGGCTCACCTGAACGCCTCAGGTCACTTTTCCCCGCGGCAGGCTCGGATCCCTCCCGCCGCTTCCCGTGTTATTGTGTCACTGGCAGGCGGAGAAACACATGGCTGCAGCCGCCGCGCCGCAGCCGGGCTCGCCGAGGCAGCAGCGGCCCCCCCCGGCTGTCACACGGCAGGGTCGGCGCTGCCCCCGCGGGAAGGGCCGGCTCCTGCCGGGGGCTGCAGCCAAGCGGCTGCTGCCGCTGCCGTCCCCGCCAGCCCCGGCCCGGCAGGCAGCAAGCGGCCGCGCTCGGGGGAGCGCAGCGCTCCCCGCCCGTGGCTCCTTCCCGCGGGTGCGGAGTCCTGCGTCCTCCCTTCAGCGCGGGGCTGCCGGGAGGACGGGCTGCTCGGAGGAGCAATGAGCTCGGGAGAAGCCGATCCGACTGCACGGGAGGAGATGCGACTGCTGCCCGCTCAGGTAGCGCGGACTGCGCCTTGGCAGTGATCCTTGGAGATGCGGCGCGGGGCAGGTAGTAGAAAGGGAGCTAAGGAGCTGGTGTTTCAACCTCAAAAACTGTTACTGCCCTCCTGCTGTCCACATTTCCACTTATCTGCCACCCAGGGTCCAAACCCTGGTCCCCTGCTCACATCAACTCTTTGTCTCCAGGCGACAGAGGATGCAGAATTCTTGAGGGCCGAGGAACATTTTGTCTTGGAAACAGGAAATAAATTGCAAGGTCACAAACACTGTCAACATTCTTGATGGGGAAAAAAATTGCCCTTTTCTTTAAAAAAGTCCAGGAGGAGGCATCTTCTGCAGTGGTCCAACCATGGTTTTCACTTGCAAACACATGCAATACCTTGATTGCCTATTCATTGCCTTTATATCTGTCTGCACATAGTCTGCATGCATGGAAATTGTGTCTGCTAAAGTTCTTGCAATACTGTCATCGATTCAAAACCAAAATGATAGAACCACAAGAAAAACTAAGAAGGAATCAAGTGAACCTAGTAGTAACGAGAGTGCAGATAATGGGAAGAAGGTGTTGTTTGTATTGCCCATAGTAGAATTGTAGCATTTATTATCAAAGGTGGCTCTGGATGTAAAAGAATGGACTTGGAACAAAGGAGAAAAACACTTGGAAAAGAAATCTACGTAGGGCTACTATGCAGACAGCAGTCACATCCAGCTCAGGAAATTCTCTGTTCTAAAAATAATGGTCTTACAAGGCAACCACTTGTGTGACATTTCATATGTGCTTTCCCTGCTGCTCCCTCCGCATCTGTTAATAGCCACTGAGATGAACACTGGACTACATGGACCTTTGGTCCAATCCAGCAGAGTCCTTTTAATGAGCACCTTTGTGGGTCTCACAGAGCACTAGATATCCATGAATGGCAAAGGGAGAAAAACACAGTCTGCCTTCTTTCATTTGGGCTAGAGAGAGGGACACCTTAGGACTGTAAGCACTACAGTTTGAGATTACTTTCTGTAAATTTGGAAGACATGCATTTAACCTGAATACTTGCAAACAGCCTCTAATTTCAGTCAAACTGCAAGCATACAAAGTACAGATTCACAGAACTGGAAACAAAAAGAGAATTAAAACAGCCATCTCACCTGACCTTATCTTTAAGACAAAGAATGTACACAACAATTTTTATCAAGCACTTTATCACATGACTGAAAGAAAGACAATTTCAAGAGAATGTACATTGCAGACCATTTCTGGGTAAATCCTTGGCTCTATCACCTGGGTTTGGCTGATTTCATCCATTCACTACTGCTAAAAGGAGATACACTCTTCTTCCAGGCTCTGGCAACACAATCTGCAATGTGTCTTATGTTCATTTTCCCACTTTCAGGTTCTCTGCTCATTTAAATTCAATTCACTAAACAGGCAGAAGAGTAACAGAAAGTGGAGAACCTTCTTCTCAGCTAGTAAGTAGAGCTGTGCAGATGATTGCAGGGTACAATGAGTGCCAGAGTTGACACCAAGGTAGAGAGGGCCTTGGCAGCTTGAAACAGGAACAAAAGAGGAGGAAGAGGGAGAAGAAGCTGTCTTCATGCAGTGACAAAGGATGCTTGTGGAACTGCAGCCTGAAATCCATATCCTTCCCTATGCAGTTTTGCAACTTGCAAAATGCAGGCCAGTGCAAATTCCTGTACTAGATTATTTAATGATTACAGAATTTCATGTTGGCCTTTGCACACTGATATCCCTCCCGTTTGTCATTTGTTCCACATGTTCACACTGAAATTTATTACAGTTACAGTTATCCTGAGAGGAGGGAATTGACTATCAGTTACTTCAAGTCTGCTGTCCCCCAAAAAAGGGTAATGACATAACCTTGAAGGGTCACGTTGCAGGCAAGAGCCTGCAAAGAGCTACACAAAATAACCTGGTGGGATGTTTGCAACTTGTTTTTAATCTACAGATTGCTATAGAACATAAGGTCTAACAAAAAAGTAGGCTGTGTTGACCCTTCCTCCTAAGTGAGAGGTCATAAAGACTAAAATGCTCCTCTAAGAGATGGGACAGCATGTGCAGAGTTTGAAATCCTAAAAGCAAGAGAGAGAGAGGCATCCCTCTGAGACAACCTCTGGTATGTAGATTGATTTATTTTCTCAGATACAGGATAAATTTTAGAAGTTGGTGCCTATTTTACATAGGAATACCTGAGTTTTACTTTAGCATGGCTGAAGTTAAGTGAGATGGAGGTAGCTAGGCACCAGTAAGGCACTCCTCAGCCAAAAGCGTGACAGATCTTTGAGCTGGAGCCCTGGGACACTTTAAAACTCATCCTCCACAACATTAAGAGAGTACCAAAAGCTGCATACGTCTGCTAGAGGGTTGGTATCACAGGTGTGAGGGGTAGCTCAAGTGTCTTTTGGTGACATTAGAGGCTCTCTGGCATAAGGCAGTACACTTGAACCACCAAGGTCACAACGCTCTGTGGAACCCCATGCATGAATAGGCACATTGTATTAGAGTACTGACTTTAGAAAACATGTTAGTAAGTTGTATAAACTTTCTTATCTCATTTAGTAACTGGCCAAGTGGTGAAACACTAGATGTTTACATAATGAAATACGAATATTGCTTTCACTGCTTTGAAGACTGTTGTATCTGTGGCCTACATTTTGACTCAATAAATAAATCTGATAATTTGGTAAATTAATTCTTTAGCCTCACTAGTCAATTTTCTGCAAGCTTATTTTAACACAAGACATCCTCATGAAAGAATTGCAAGTATTCATGTCTATACTTCTTCATTTCTCCTATAGCATTGCTCTTAAGTCCCAGATAAAGTTATTTGGCTATCCCCTGCTGGGATGACTAGAACTTTTTAAACAGGAAAATTACACAGATGCAAAAGATGATGAAGCACTTTAGGGACAAAATGCACTAGCAGGTAGGCTGGTGGACAGTTGTGGGGGTTTTTTTTCCCTAGCACCTTTTGTATAAGAGACAGCATTATATAAATATGAAATTTAAAAATACTCATTCACTCTCTTTGCTGAGAAAGACAAGTACAAAATGGTTTTTGGCTCTTAAGTTGACCTCTTATCTAAGTAGCTCTTGCAACACTCATGGAAAATGAGTGTGAAGGTTTTTTTCCTATATTCTCATGCTTACTTGCAAAGAGAGCTCCCTTGTCTTTGTGTTTCAACTGGTTGACTTCCTTAGCACTAGAGGCCTGGGAAGGGGCACCATAGGAACTACCAGGTATTGTCCAATCTCCCCTCCTCTTTTCAGGCTATGTACAATAGTTTTCCCACACATGGAAGTGCACAGATTACATTCATTGCTGCTCTAAGTTTGAACCATTTAAGTTGTCTGGTAGGAACTGGTTGTAAGAAAAAGTGCCTGTGTGATTCAAATAATACATCTGGCCAAGCTAATTTTAGTCCTGTGATAAACCACAGGAAAGTTAATACGTAGTAAGTGTTAAAAACAAAAAAACAAAAACAACCCAAAGAAACAAACAAACAAAAAACAAGGATATGTGTTAAACTTATCTTTTTCTATTATTGTATCCAAGTTCCTGCAAAAGCCTCCATGGTGAGATAATAGAAGGAATTTTTCCTAGTCTGTCCAACATTTCAGCACTAGAGAATCATATCTGTTTATATTCTTATATTTAATGTGTTACTGACCTGGTAGTTGTTGTAATAGTGAGCTGAAGTGGAGAGAAAAAGGCATTTTGATCCTGACATATACAGAGACAACTTGAAAGGGGTTTTCTAAGCCTGTCCCTATACAGCTTTTCCGTTTTGCATTAAATATTCAAAGACTCACTAGGCCAGACAGAGGTAGCAAGATTTCTGTGCAGACTGACAGCTAAGGCATGACCAGGAGATGGGTACCTGCTTTAGTGCTTGCTCTTGTGAGGAGTTAAATATTTTACAGAAACAAGCATCTTCAATAAGATAAAAGATCAGAAATTTGCATCAGACCAGTAACCCAAATAATTCCAACTGACAGGATGTTCTGTTAAACCAGCATTTTGCACTACCCTCTACTTTATTGTACCTGGAATATTTTCTAATTCCTCTTATTTAATATATTTGTTTTCCCATGATTTCAAATTTTGAGCATCACAAATATATTTACGAGCCTAAAAGCACCTATAAACCTGTTTTAAACCTCAGGTTTATCTTTGAAAAAGTTCATATGTATTACCAGTAGTTATTTTTGTTTGCTTGTTTTCTTTTTATTTTATTCTGCATTTTAATCAAGGGCAATTATGACCTTGTACAATTTGAGTTTCATCTATATCATATGTTCAGTCTGGGTCATAGTCCTAGACTTGTGTAATATCCAGCCTAATGTATGGACTGGGACTGGGAGGTCTGAGTCAGCTGGGAAGTGTGACTAAGAGCCGAAAAGGAACTGCTTTCTAAACCACTTCTCACATGTGAAGACAACACCTTCTAGCTCTATGGTAAAAGCCAGCTTCTTAAGCCATGCCCCAGCCACCTCTGTGTTAATGCATTCTGATGTCTGGCCACAAGATTTAAAATGTTTGTTTAAAGCTCTGTGGCTTGAACTGGTGGTTTGACACTGAGTTGTGATCAGCCCTGAACACTCAGGCATGGGTTGGTTTCCTTGTTCTCTGGGAGACAACACCTAAGAGTACAGATTCAGTCTAAGACTCCTTTGCTATCTATTTCTGCTTCTCAGAAGTGGCAAGTTTCTGTT